TCCTGCCTCTGCCTCCCAAGTAGCTGGGACTACAAGCACTTACCACAATGCATGGCTATTTTTTGGTTGCAGCCATCATTATTGTTTGGCGGGCCGGCTGTGGATTCGAACCCACCAGCTCAGGTGTATGTGGCTGGTGCCTTAGCTGCTTGAGCCACAGGCGCCGAGCCTATAGATAGAGATATTAACAGGATGTTTCTAAGACAGTGGAGTAGAATGGAAAAATTAGCTTATATTTATAAGATTAAGTGTATGAAAAAATAGTTTTAAATATGATTAATTTAATTTTAACTTTATTTTTTTTTTTTTGAGACACAGTCTTGTTATGTTGCCCTTGGTAGAGTGCTGTGGCATCCCAGCTCACAGCAACCTCTAACTCTTGGGCTTAAGTGATTCTTTTGCCTCAGCCTCCCAAGTAGTTGGGAGTACAGGTGCCTGCCACAACACCCAGCTATTTTTTTGTTGCAGTTGTTGTTGTTTAGCAGGTCCTGGTCAGGGTTTGAACCTGCCAGCCTTGGTGTATATGGCTAGTGCCCTAACTGCTGAGCTATGGGCGCTGAGCCAAAATATGATTAATTTTAAATTCTTCATACCAGAATGAAAAGTTCCCCTTCATTGTAATTTAGTCAGTGTTATTACTTTATTTAAGTAAGATGTATTAAGTGAAGGGAGACAATAAGCATGGAAATAAAATGATGAAGCAAACTGAAGCTAGTTTGAAGGAGTCTGGCAAATGTAAATGATTCAAGACCTCTAGAGGTTGGTTTTGATGTCAGATAAGATGTTTTCTTAGGCTTGCTTTTTGTTTGGGTGATAGCTCTTTTAAGCTCTTTGTTGTGATTCTGTGATGACCAGGTTGCTTTGAGTATTAATTTGGCTTCCCCAGGCACCTTTTCACTGGAAAAGGTGAGTGTCCTTTTTAGGAAATATTTTTATTCAGTGAATGCTTATGTGCCAGGTGTCTTTTAGTTATTAGGGCTATAGCAATGAAGAAAATAGGCAAAGTCAGTTATTTCATGGAGCTTTCAATATAGTGAGTGACAACATTCTTATTACTGAATGTGATATCTCTGATTGTCAGTTTAAAAGGTTGGCATGAAACCTATTAAAGTTATCATAATCAGTATCTCCTTAGTTTGTTCATTTTCTTTGATTCCTGTCAACTGTGAGCCATTGACAAAATTCTAGACTTGAAAAATCTGAAAACCAAATCCTAGATGATTATAAATTCACCAAAGAAATGCCATCCTGTGAGACCTCTACACTGCCCTGCAATGAATCTTCCTTTGGGGACACCTTTATCTGTGATACAATACTTGTTTAGAGATTTAGTGTGTTATTTGTATCATAGGAAGGCATAGACATTAGCATGTATATAATTATTATTGTAATTTCCACCTCTCTCCTACTTTATAAATTCTACTGAAGCATAATATACATATGAAAAGTACACAAATCGTAAGTGTATAGTTTGACAAATTTTCACAAAGTAAACACTGACGTAACCAGCATCCAGTTTAAGGGGTAGAACATTGCCAACACTTCAGAATCCTCTTTGATACAACTGTTTTCCCCTAAGGGTAAACATTATCCTCACTTCCTACACTAAAGATTAGTTTTGCTTATTTTTGAACTTTACGTAATGTAAAATATACTCTTTTGTATCTGATTTTTTGACTCAGTGTTGTTTGTGGTTATTTCTTCACGCTGCTCTGTGTAGTTGTGTGTTTATTCTCATTGCTGTGTGGTGTTCTACTTTTAACTATGCACCAATGTACTCTTTTAACTCAAGGTGGACTTTCCGGGTTGCTTTCACTTGTTTACTATTAGAAATAGTTATATGGATATTTTTGTACATGAAATTTAGTGAACATAGGTTAATATATGCCTAAGATACTTTGCTTTTTTTTGAGACAGAGCCTCAAGCTGTCCCCCTGGGTAGAGTGCCATGGCATCACGCTCACAGCAACCTCCAACTCCTGGGCTCAAGCGAGTCTCCTGCCTCAGCCTCCCAAGTAGTTGGGACCACAGGCGCCCGCCACAACGCCCGGCTATTTTTTTTTGGTTGCTGCCGTCATTGTTGTTTGGCGGGTCCAGGCTGGGGATTTGAACCTGCCACCTTAGGTGTACGTGGCTGGCACCTTAGCCGGTTGAGCTATAGGTGCCAAGCCAGATACTTTGCTTTTATAAAAGCATGTTTTTTCACATTTTAACTTTCCTGAAATCTGAGTGACTTAAAATTGATGTATTGAAGTGTTTTTCTATGACTTTTTTTTGTTTTTGAGACAGTCTCACCCTGTTACCCAGGGCTAGAGTGTAGTGGTGTCATTATAGCTCACTGCAGCCTCAGACTTTGGGCTCAAGTGACCCTATTCTCAACTTCCCTAGTACTTGAGAATGGATGTTAGGTGGATGTTGGACATGCCACCATGAATGGCTAATTTTTCCATTTTATCTGGAAATAGGATCTTGCTTTTGTTTAAGCTGATCTCTAATTTCTGGCCTCAGCTATCTTCCTGGCTTGGCCTCCCAAAGTGCTAGGATTATAGGTGTGAGCCACTATGCCTGGCCTTAAAAGTCTTTTTTATTATTTCTCCCTGAAAAATTTTCCCTACATTGATGGCATGTCAGAATATAAGGAATGGGGCGGCACCTGTGGCTCAAGGAGTAGGGTGCCGGCCCCATATATCTGGGTTGTGGGTTCAGGCCCAGCCCTGGCCAAAACTACAAAAAAACAAAGCAAAACCAGAATATAATGAATGCTAATTGTGGCCAGGCATGGCGGCTCACACCTGTAAGCTTAGCACTGTAGGAGGTGGAGGCCAGTGGATTGCAAGAGCGAGATCCTATCTCTACAAAATATAGAAAAAGTTAGCTGAGTGTTATGCAGGCGGCTGTAGTCCCAGCTAGCTACTTGAGAGGCTGAGGCAAGGGGATCACTTGGGCCCAAGAGTTTGAGATTGCCGTGAGCTATAATGCCACGGCACTCTACTCGCGTGATAGAGTGAGGCTCTGTCTCTAAATAAAAATAGAAATTCTAATTGTATCTAGTGGTGTATGGTTTCTTAGATTTGTTTGAAAATCATGGAGAGCTGGATTCTCTTGATAAATTCTTTAGTTTTAAAGCCCCTTCAGAGGG